GTGGAGCACTGTGTTAGACAATAAATACATAAGGATAAAATAAAGGTTCTCTGTTAATACTGGAGAGTCCATTGAGGGAGAAAAGATGTGCACACAAGAGTAAGCCATGAGAGAGCCAAGGGGCATCTCAGAAAGTTCTATCAAAAGGCAGAAATCTGGGCTGAAGTTATAGTAGCTCAGTGTTAGAAGGCTTACCCAGCATACATGCTTAGCACCTAGTTCAATCTTCAGCACTGTAAAAGAAGTAGTAGAATTAAAACAAAACATGAAACAACAACAAGAGACATGGAAGCCTATGGGGAGAGTCAATAATATGCACTACTCATGCATTTTCCTAGTTAAATTCTTGCTGGGATTTCATGGGTTATACTATCTTCTTTATGGATATGAGAAAGCTTCGGTTCTGAGAACAGTTTCCAGAACAAATTACACAGAGTTTGTGCAGGTTCCTTCTTCTGTGTCATGTCATTTCACCTAATTAAATTGTGTTTGAGGTATTATCTGCAATACCTTCCACCTGCTTTCTCTCTCTCTCACAGACTTGATTGCACTGTGTTCTGACATCTTCATCATAGCTTTATCCTGGCATACTCACCCCATACCTTCAGATCAACCAAACCCTCTTCATTTGCCACCAAGATAATCTAGGATGATCTATTTTATCTCTGTTTCAAAGGTATTGAAATAATTAAGCTTTTGTTTTGATGATACCACTCAGCTAAATTTAGTGGCCCTTTTTCTTTTGTCTGTTAGGATTCTATCACCATTGTAATGGGGCAAGCCTGTGCCATGTTTGCTGCTTGTGTCTCAGTTGAGACAGAGCCTTTGCTTTAATTGAGAGCAAACTTCCAATTCAGGATCCAACAGCCTTACAACTCTGCTTATGAATTATAACCATAATGCTTTGCTCTGCTGTTACCACATTGAGGATGAAGAGGCAATTATTGTGATCTTTTCTGTTATTCTCCTGTTGCTCCTGTCAGGACAGTAGGATTTAAAGTGGGATTTAAAGGTGGAAAAGGAATTAAATCCTCCGACAGTTTAGTGCAATATTTCAGGGTTCACCTGCATTTTGGTTGGCCCTCTGTCCTCCTTGGTTTCTGATCCACAGATTAAACCAACTATAGATCAAAACCATTTATGAAGATTTTTTTTTCTGAGTATTATCCCCATAACAATACTAACATTTACATTGTATTAGTATTGCATGATTTGGAGTCAACAAAATATGTAAATACTAGGCTATTTATATAAGGGACTTAAGCAGTGTGAGATTTTGGTATCTTCAGAGGGTCCTGAAACCAATTCCCCATGGCTACTGAGACAACTGTACTGTAAAGTTACAAAGCAACACAGTTATACATGATTAGATTTTTATAATACAAATAAGAGTATCCTTTGTCAGTATATTGTCTGCTTCTGAGTGTTCTTTTACAACAATTATTGTTATTCATGCTATACCAAAGCTTAATGCAATTTTGAAAATACTACTCACTCCTGAGTGAGCTGACATTTTCTGTGGCTTAAACAGCTGCTAACATTTTAATGTTATATTCTGATCACATGATTAACTGTCAATATGTTCCTTGGGTGGAAAAACAAAGTTTACTTGAGCTAAGTGTTCATTATCTTCACTTTAGGTTGTTTTAACAAGATAGGAAATAAGAAGGGTTGGCAAGAATGTGGGCTCCTTGCCTTATGTAAGCTGGCTTATATCCCATCTCCTGTGGGCAGAGCAGAAAATGGAAGGGAAAGAAATTATGGTGTTAAACTCCTGCCCACGACTCCACATGGAAAGGAGAACCCTCGTGTCTATAAATCAGTGAAAGAAATGATCAGTTCGTTTTTTTAAAAGCCATCCATGCTCTGAGGTCTCAAGTTCCGCCCTTCCCTTCCCCTGCCTCAAGGCTTGCTCATCTCGGTCTTGATCAACAGGAGTATGGATAGAATCATGTGCTCTTCATAGTCCAAATATGAAACCCATTTCGAATTCCATTACTGGCATTGTGTTATGGTTTGAAAATGTTTTATCCCCACTACAATTCGGGTGAGGGCTAGGGGTGTGACTCAAGTGGTAGATGTTTACTTAGCCTGTACAAGACCCTGGGTTCAATCCTTAGTATGGAAGGAAAACAAAACCCAAACCCAAACCCCCCTGTGAATCCCTCAAAACTCAGGTGAAGCTTGGTTCCCAATGTAACAATGGGAGATGGGGCCTCATAGGGTTTGGTTTGGAGCAGAGACCTCACAAATGGATTGGTGCCTTTTCCTTTGTGTGACATTTCACTAGATATAGTACCTCAAGAGCCTATGGTGATAAAGCAAGCCTACAATTGTGTTCAATTTCTTCTGCACATACCCCCTTGCTCTTCACTTTCCACCACGAGAAAGTAGACTTTACCAGATGCAGCTGCCTGGTTTGGGGCTAGGATCCTAAATCAACCTCCATTCTTTGTAAATTATCTAGACTTGAGTATTTTGCTAGAGTGACAGAAACAAAGATTTTGATAATAAGATATACTCTGGAAGTGAGAGACTACCAGGATACAGATATAGATATTTATAAGATTTCATAGTAATAGACTGCATGAATTTGTCTCAATGACTAAATTCCTCCAGGTCCAGGTAGGATGATCTGTTCCCGCCTGCCCCCCCCCCGCCCCCTCCTCAGGAACTTTGACCGATCAATGAGAGAGAAAGAACATCCAATGAACCCATAGAAGCAGACTCACAGCAAAGCAAAGTACTCAAAGTGCATGGCAGAGAGAGAATGGTAGAAATAAAGCAAACTGGCTAACATGTGGGGTCAAATTGTGAAGGTTCTGGAATGCTATGATATTTGAAGTTTGGTTGTTCCATAAGCCATGAGGAGCACTCCAGAATTCCAAGAGACAGGAGATACAGTCATTTTTGATCATTAAAATGAGTGATTTTGGCATTAGTGTAGTACAGGATTGGAGTGATATCATATAGGAGTAGTTCAAATAGTTCAGGACAGATATAGGCAGTTTGGGTATAAATGGACTATTCTAGAAAAGTTAATGTTGGAGTTAGTGTTTCCAAGATTTAGCCAAATGAAGAACAAAAGGATACTTTAGAGGGGGAAAAAATGACCCGAATTATGAGCCTGAGTTTAAAGAAAGCGTTCCATCAATAAAGAAGGGATTCAATGGAAGAGAGAGATTTAGTAGGCTTTGTCTTGAGTCTGTTGAGTTGAAATGTTCTTTTGACATCCAAATAAAAATGTCCAGTGAATTACAGTTTGGGGGATGGAGCTCAGGAAAAAAATGTTTGAAACGGAAAACAAACATTTGGAAGTCACCTGCATAGGTGAGGCAGAGGAAATTTCAGAAGCAGACCAAGTTGCTTTTAAGGAGAGAATATAGCATGAAAGAAGAGATGACCCAGGCCAGGATCTTATAATTCAGGAGTTTACAGGAAAGAGATGAAGAGCTATGTGGAAGGGCCACACTGTTGAAGTCAAAGAAAGAGCCATTGTTTAGAAACAAAACTTCCAAATGAACTTCTTTTGGCCACCATCTGCCTGGACAGTTTCTAAGGAATGAGTGTCAGGAATGAGACACTGGCTTGGATGGGAGACAAGGAAGTCGACATGGAACAAAAAGTATTATGGGGAAAGCCTTTGTGAAGGAAAGTACAGAAGAATAGCTTGAAGGGAAGGAATTTCTTTTCCTTTTCTTTTCTTGTCTTTTTCTCTTTTTTTGGTCAGTTGTGGGGCTTGAACTCTGATTCTAGGCGCTGTCCCTGAACTCTTCAGCTTAAGGCAAGCACTCTACCACTTGAGCCATAGCTCCACTTCCGGTTTTCTAGTGGTCTATTGGAGACAAGAGTCTCACGGCCTTTCCTGCCCAGGCTGGCTTTGAACCATAATCCTCAGATATCAGCCTCCTGAGTAGCTAGGATTATATTCACTGGTTCACTGGATTTCTATCTAAGACAGTTCTAGAAGGTAGGGAGAGCAAGGAGTCAAAGGCTTTGCTCCAAGTCATTTCTAGCAAATTAAGTGGAAGGGCTGTGGATAGGAGATTCAAGTCATTTGGTCCTAATTCAGTGACCTTGCCAGAGCACCCAGCACTTCTGGAGTGCTTGTTGTGCTTGGATAAAGAAGGCACTTAGCTCCTTGCTATGGGGCTTTGCCCTTATCAGAGGGGGTGAGGGGGAGGGAATTTTATCTCTACTCCAATGCCTGACGAGAACAGATCTGAGATGTAGGATGTGTTAGAAGAGACACCTCAGAGGGGTAGACAATTAGGATGTGGCTACAAACCAGGACACAGCTTTAAATAACCAATCACATGTTGAGAAAGTTCTTTCCTTTGTAGTTTCCCAGGACCTCTTTGTTTTCTGTTTCAGGGAAGGACTCACTCGCGTGTATATTTTTCACACTTCTCAAATATTCTCTTGTCTCCTTTTTGAACAAATAGAGAACAGGCCTCGGGCAAGAAGATTTGCAAATCCTGTTTCTCCAGTGATGGATTCTATTGCTTCTTGTATTTGCTTCGTTTTTATGTTTTTTTTTCTCTTATGACAAATAGTATTTTCTCATTTGGGCTGGGAAGGTGGCTCAGTGGTAGAGCGCTTGCCTTGCATGCCTGAGGCCCTGGGTTCGATTCCTCAGCACCACATAAGCAAAAAGACAAGAGCCGGAAGTGGCGCTGTGGCTCAAGTGGTAGAGCGCTAGCCTTGAGCTGAAGAGCTGAGGGACAGCGCCCAGGCCCAGAGTTCAGGCCCCACGATTGGATACCCCCCCCCCGCAAAAAAAGTATTTTCTCATTTATTGTAATTATACCAAGCTTGTTATTAAAACCTCAAATTAATAAAAAAAATCTTGATTTCTAAGACAAGTGATATATTCCTATGAAGAAACCATGTGTTTTGGGGAATTCTGTGCATTGCATGGGGTCTTCTGTAATAGAAGAAATTAAAGTTTAGAACAGGGTAGGATGGCTGCAGTGGGAACAAAAAAAGAAAAAAAAGAAGGCTCTCAAAGCCATTTAAGAGAGTTGAAGGTGGGAAGCAATTATCTTCTTAAGGCATTTACTACTTCATTTCTCAGGATGCTGTGGACTGCTGCATGGAGAACTTAGAAAGGTTTCTGCAAAACAGTGAATTTATTATGTCACAATTCAGGAGGCTGAGAGATAGAGCGGCTCCACGATGGTGAGAGTAGTTCATTGGCATTCCCGACCACTCAGCATTCCACTTCCCAACCTCAGCAAGTAGGCTGTATTCTCATGGTCCCACCATGATGGCTGATAGGTCCCAAGAATCTCAGCACATCATGAGATGTTTCCTGGGAAAGGACATGCTGTTTTTCCTGGAGCTGAAGAGTGAAGGGGAAGAAACCTTTCCCCAAAAGTGCCTCCACCAAAAGATTTTCCTTAAGGCTTGTGGGCCAAATACTACATATTCATGCAGAAACTACTTCATTCAAAGGGAATCACATTATGGTAGGCTAATATGGATGAGTTAGGACTGCTGTTGGGAGATCAGGATGGAGACAGTTTTCCAGAAGGATGGACTTTTTGAGATCACAAAGCTCTCTTAACAAATCAGGCCCAGAAACAGTCAAACCATGTCTTACAATGACTTAAGAGAGCTTTAAGGTTTCCCTTCGTACCAGTGGTTTTGAAATTCCTCCAATTCAATCTTGCTTGTAAGTGAGAAGCTCTTGTAGCTTGGGGTTTCATATTTATATTTTTTCCCTCTTGGCTCTTCTCTCCATGTGTTGGATTAAGGCACAACGAAATACTTCCACTGCAAAATCCACTTCTCTCTTAGTGACACACATTGGGGGCACAATTCGGAAACTCTGAGGAGACAGAGGAACATAGAACAACCAACCATCAGAAGAGCAAATACGGTTCTGAGGAATCCTGCCAAACTTAAGAACCCCAAACTTTGTTTTTTGCTACATTCCTTAGGTTTCTCTGATTGGGCTGAATTCTTCCCTCTCTTTTTACAAGCTCATCTGCCAGTTCCCATACAAACCCTTGCACAATCTATCCCAGTATGTGTGTGTGTGTGTGTGTGTGTGTGTGTGTGTGTGTGTGTGTGTGTGAGATAGTACTGGCACTTGAACTCAGGGCATTTGTTTACTTATTTATTTTTATTTTCTTGGCTTTTGTGTTCATGGCTAGCATTCTACCACTTGAGACTCACCTCTGCTTCTGCTTTCTTCTAGTTAATTGGAGATAAGAGTCTCACAGACTTTTCTGCTTAGGCTGGCTTTGAATCACAATCTTCAGATCTCTGACTCCTGAGGAGCTAGGATTATGGGCATGAGTCACCTGCAGCCAGCTCTTTTTCTTTTAGTCATCTGTTCATCTCGGTCCTTCTACCATCTCCACTGTTATCTTAGGCCCTTTTGTATACCTCTTTTCTGTGTGTTTTACTCCCAAAATTATCCACAGGATTTGGCCTCCATCCTTGAAACCACACCCCAAGTTCAGTAAAAGTATTGTTACAGTTAGAAGTAAGAAGTTCTGGTGTTTTCAATGGTGACTATAGATAGCAATAATGTACTATGTATTTCAAAAGAGCATGAAGAAAGAATTTTAATATTCTCTCCCCAAGAAGATAATAGAAGAGATAGTTAGCCTCCCTGGGTTTAGACCTTACTCAACATATTTAGGTATTGAAACAGTTCATTGTAACCCATGGCTTGGTACAATCATCCTGTATCATAGTATTTCTTACTATTTTAATAGTCACAAAAAGATACTCTATAATTTTTATTACCATTTTTATGGTTACTAGTAAGGCTGAAGACTTTCCCATATATTTGGTTTTTTAGAGTATAGGCCCTTGTGTGAATTTGTCTGCCTGGCTTTGCCCATTTATCTAGCAGAGTGCTCATTTCATTTAGATTTAATTGATCCTTCCCTTTGTGTGTAGATTGCACTTCCTCTGCTTTCCTTTTGGTGCACAAATCCTGCTCAATCTTGTATTGTTGTTACCTGTGTCTGATTGTTCTTGTTGGACAGGGGCTGCTGGTGGGCATAGCCAGCCTGGAGTCTGGACGCTTGTGTCGTGTGAAGCCTTGTCAAGTGGAACACTATGTTATAAATGCACTCTCAAGAACCACTGGGGTCACAATGATAAGCATGAAAATAAAGAATTGTCTCAGAAGGGCAAAATATACTTCTGCAGAAGGGTATGCCACCAGCCAAAAACCTGGCAATCAAGCACCATGTATCCTACGTTTTTATATGTTAAAAAGTGGGCAAGAGGAGAGGATTGAATAGCACAAGCTATGCTTGCCTGTTTTAAAATATTTATTTATTTTGTGACAGTCCTGGGACCCAACTTAGGGTCTAAGTGCTGTCCCTGAGCTTTTTTGCTCAAGGCTAGCACTTGAGCCATGGCTCCATTTTTTTGTTGGTTAATTGGAGATAAGACTTTGCTGCTTGGGCTGGCTTTGAACTGCAATCCTCAGCTCTCAGCCTTCTGAGTAGGTAGGATTATAGGTGTGAGCAACCACTGCCTGGTTCTCCCTTAATTTTCTTTCTTTTTTTCCCCCTTCCTTCTTTCCTTCCTTCCTGCACTAAGACCATTCCTCGGATGGTGGCCCACCTCTCCTGAAAGGGTTATCTGGGCCTGCCTGGGCTGTCCCAGGTAAATATTAAAACTGAGCAATGCACAAAGAGTTCAGGGATAGGACAGGAAAGGCCATTCTGGCTCTAACATGTCTCAGAATTATTTCACACATGAGACAAGTTATGGTATTTCATGAGTGTTATGATTCTATTATCACTCATACTTAAATCATCTGGTTTGGCTGGACAGCTTGTTATCTTCTCTACAGAGCAGTTATAATCAAACCATTTACCACAGCACCCCCTTGTGGCTATCATTTTCTTTGATTACACTGAAGCATTATCTCTGGAAGAAGTGGTGGCTAGGTCCCCTAACATGATGAGAAAGAAAAGCCACCAGCATTGGCCCACCAAGGAGACATGCACACGACAACCAGCCTCTCTCTTACCTGAGAATATATGCCACCTCTGCCCAAAAGAAGCCCCATATCTTTACAGTCCTCATGGATTTGACTAACTTCATCACCAGGAAGAGGCTGCCGGCTCATCTGTGAATAGATTTTTAAAAAAAGTTTCTAATTTGGTGTTTGAATGGTTAGAAGCATTATTTCTCAAGTATAAACAAAACAAAACAAAACTCAAGGAACCAATGTCCCTGTAATTAAATAAAGTGGTTAACTGCCTGACTAGATTTAAAAAGGGTGTTATTAAAAAAATTTGTTTTTATTGCATTACACCCCCAATTTCCAAAGACATAATGAAGTTCTGTGCAGAAAGCCAGGGAATCTTGGTTCTCCTAATGACTACTCAGGGAATTTGGTTCCTGAATAGCTGAGTTTGGAGTCTGCTCTATGTTGAAATCCCCTTTAATGTCTCACTGCGTTCTGCCCATGGATAGAGCTAACTTCAAAGTCCAGGAAGTGGCTTAGCAGTTGCACAAGGGCATTGTCTGGACTGCAGCTCTGCCAGGGAGCTGGGGTTAGGTCCAACTTTTCTCATCTTCTCTGCTTGCTTTCTCTCCCAAGACTTCACCGTCCAGGGTTAGAAAAGGTGAGCAAGAGGCTATGTCAGATACGTGGCATCTGGTGTTGGTCGCCTATGTGGGTGGTCAGGCATGCCAGTCATCCTTTGGTGACATCGAGGTAGTGTTTGTTGTCCTTTCTATGCACTCTTTGCTTTCTCAGTCTGAGAGCACAAATACCTCCTTTTCACACAGTCATTTCAAGTCAGCTTGTACCTTCATTAACTGGAAGCCTTTCACCCTGCAAATATGTGGGCCTTACATGAGGCTGAATTAGACTTGAGACAGGGTTAAAGATCTGTGTTTTAGAAATGCTTCTTCGGTGTCAGGGCTGAAATTGTCCTGATCTTCCCTCTTTCTGCCCCAGACTAGCATCAGCAATGGGCGTGGCTCTCTGGTGTTAGATAATCAAGGCATGATGCTTGTTTGCTGACCATTCCCTGCAGGTAGAGAAGAGCTTCCTCCAATGCGACCTGATTTATTAGTCTATTCATGGCTTTCTGGGCCTTGACATCTTTTCCCTTTCTCCACCAAGCCCAGATCCACTTTTTCCCCAAATCCCTGATTCCTTGGAATGTGCTGGTGTCGGAGTACACAAGCTGTGACTGGACTTTCAAGAGACGCTCACAGTTTTTGACTGTCTTCAAGTTTTACAATACAGAAAGTAACACTCCAACCTTCAGTACTGGCTAAGAGAGGACCTGGGTTTGGGGAAACACTAGGTTCTTCTCCTTGTCTCTAAGTTCTATCATGTATCCCTGCTTGCCCAGAGATTCTCATCTATTGGAGAGAGAAGACTAAAAAAATTAGAATCAAATTCCTAGGACTGAAAATAAGTTCAATATGATTCTAGAGATCAGAGGCTGGAGGGGCCTGGTTAACCTGGAAAGGCTTCCTGAGAGAAATGTGGGCTGCTGGGGGCCTCCCCCATTATGAATGTGGAGCAGAGGAGCTTTCTTGGCCTCACCCACCATTGGTCTGGGTTATCATTCCCCCTGGTCTCTGGCCCATTTGATTCCACTTTCTGCATCCACGGTTGTGATCCACTGGACATCTTGTCTGTATTCCTCAGTGAGAGGAAGGGCCAGAATCCGCCATGAGTTTCAAAGGGCCTTGTAGTCAGAACTACATGAAGGTGCTCAGGCACTTGTGTTCATACCCATGTCCCAACTGCTTGCTAAAGAGGTAGCCATGTTGATAATTCAACTTCTTGCTAAGTGTATTACATACCTTCTTGGAGACTACTCTTTCAATGTGCACTTGTGTTTAAGTAATTATAAAAGTCATTAATGATTATTAAATAAAACAAGTAATATAGAAGTATATAAAAAACAAATAAAAACTTCCCTTTCTTCATCCTCTGCCAAAGTATACCTCCTATTGATAATTGAGTGTGAACCATGTTCTTTCACACTGTGTATGAAAATGTATGGATATGTACATTTTTAGGGTACATATCCCTAAATATAATAATGTTCTACAATTTTCTTTTAATAATTTTAAATAAATGTTTTCTTTTGGACCTAGTTGTATTAAAGGTTACTTACTATTTCATTGTTTCTCAGTAGCTTTTTGTTTTCTTAATATTGAGCATTAAGATTAGTATTTCTAATATTTTTACAGTTAAAAGCTGCTCCAAATATCCTTCGTTGTAGCTATTGCACATATTTATGAGTATTTATTTAGGATGCATTTTAGAAGTGGAATTTTAAAGCCCAAATGTATAGACATTCAAATTTTTATACATCTAGATGTATCACTGTCCAAAAGACTGTACCAATTTGCATCCTTAGCCATATTGGATGAGAGTGCCCATGTTAGATTATTCTAGACAGGACTATAGGAAAGTTCTGGGCTGCTCTAACTCCATGAACATCATCTGAGGTTTGCTAGAGGCTTGTAGTCAGTCCACCAACATAAACACTGGCCAACTATGTCTCCTGGCTGCTAAGCTTTCTTGGAATAATAAGGTCTTTTCAGTAAACACATGATGGATAATATCATAGGCATATGGATAATACCATAGACTTGAACATCCCCACCCATCCTCCAAGTTCAGGTGTTGAAATCTAATCATCAGTGTGATGATATGAGCAGTTGGGCCTTGGGAAGTGGTTGGATCTGAAAGAAGGGCAGGAGAAAGCTAAGGTGAAAATCTGGGATGAGTAAGTTAAGGGTACTTTGACTTTTGTTGTTTGCTTGCTTGCTTATGATTAGATTTCAATCATGCAAGTTACTTGGGAAATAGATAGTCCTGTGTGGTTTACTCTACCCTTAAGGGGAATGTCTTCTTAAATGAGGCTTAGAGAGATCCCTTTACCCTTCTGTCCAGTTTGGTAACAGCAGGAGGATAGCCTTCTGTGCCCTTAGGATGCAGACCCTCCACAGATTCTGATTAGGGCACCTTATCTAGGAATTTTTAGTTTCTAGACTGGTGACTGTTGACTTCTGTTGTTTATGAATTTCTCAGTCTATGGAATTGGGTTACTGTGGCATGAATTGAGATAGTGGAGGGGATTATTTCCAAAGAGCTCCTTGGACCATCAATGCTTGAGGAATCCTCCAAGGGGTGGGGGCCCTGACACCGGGAGAAGCAAAGATAAGTTGTACATAGGATGTGTGTGGGCCTTGGGGCAGACTAGGATGTCCTCAGGCAGAGACCGGGAGGAGTCGGCAGGTTCCACGGCAGAGGACACACTTGGAGCAGCATTTGGATACAGAATGACGTGGAGGAGACACCATGGAAAACCAAGGACTGATCACCTGGGATTTAAATCTGGGTGGCATCCATGCTTATCTGATACAGCTTACCTTCTCCACCATATAATCTGAATCCTGTTTTATGTCAAATAGCTCTGTATGTCATGGTAATGGAGATGGATTATGATTTATCTAGTTCTGAACCAGTGGTCATTTGGGAGTATTCTGATCTTTTACTCTGAGAAAGTTTCTCTGATATGACTTGGTGTAAGAAGAATTTGGGTTTTGAAATAGCCCTAATCCTCCTCACCCATTTTCTTCTTTTAAGCCTAGACTTGGGCAATTTAGATATCTTTGAGGAAGTTCACTGGATCCGGGAGAAGAGTGATAACCTTGAATTGGGCCACAGCTGGCTCATGAGCTAGCAAGTCTCATTAGGACTTTCATTTCTTTTGTCTTCCCATAACTTTCAAAGCTTATTTAAATATTGCAGCTTTGTACTGGGTCTGCTGTGTGATATTAATGCAAGAGTCTGATATCCATGGTCTGGCCTGAATAGTAAAAGAACTAAGCATCAATACATCTATAGTAGGATGGCAGGTAAGGACCAGATCATAAGACATCCCGAAGGGAAAGCTGCAGCCCAATGGACAAGAGTTAAGATCACCAGGTTGGTCTGGGAAACTCCAACCTTTGTCAGGATTTCTCTTCTATTTTTCCTTAGAAGACTCATCTTTGTTTCAAGGCACAGTTTCTCCTGGCATGGGTTCTAGAGCCAACAGTAACAGAAACAAATAAGCTAAGAAGGATCTGAGAGGCAGGGCAAGGAGGGAATCGCCAGGAGGAGTAACTAACAGCTACTATTGTGGTGTTGAGGCCAGATGCGGGGAGAAGGGTGATGATGGGAACAGTGATCTTGGAAGGGGTAATTCTACATTCAAATGTTGTCATTACTTTGAGGTCTCGGAGGAGTACATTCCTCCTTGGTCCCTTCTGAGTGAAGTATATTCATAAGCAAGCAAATACAGAACCCAGTTTATCTCTAACACACTCACCCCAAACTTTCACCTTAGATTTCTCCTGACCCTTCATCAATTCCTTCACTCTTGGGCCACCTCCTCATTCCAAAGCAATTTCCTCCCTTTCCTCCCTTTCCAAGTGTTGGGTCATTGCTTGCGCTCTTTGCTTTAGCTAGCAAGAGTACTAGCAGTCTCTCTTTCCAAATGCTCTCACACTCCTCTAGAATTCCCCACAACCTGTTAGCATTTTGTTTATGAACCCCTCCAGGGCAGTGCTGAGCTATGCTGCCTGCACTTCCTTTCCCAGGATGCAAAGTGTGCTTTCAGTGGATACTCCCTACCTTTAATGCCTTGTGGCCTCGGCAGCCGGGAGAGCAGCTCTCCAGGACCTACCTTGCCTTGCACCATCTCTATTCCGATCATGAGACCTTTTCCTCGGACGTCTCCCATGATGTCAAACTCATCCCTCAGCTCAGCCAACTTCAGTAACATGTAGGTGCCAACTTCTTGACAGTTTTCTTGCAGATTTTCTTCTTTGATCACCTGATCACCAACCAAAAAAAATTAAGTAGATAAATTTCTTGCTGACTCCTGATTGGCCAGTTGAGTTTCTCTCCCTACAAAGTTACTAACATTCTGCATATTTTTCTGGAAATATGTTTTTTTTTTTTTTTGGTCACTCATGGGGCTTGAACTCTGGTCCTGGGCGCTGTCCCTCAGCTCTTCAGCTCAAGGCTAGTGCTCTACCACTTGAGCCACAGCGCCACTTCCAGTTTTCTGGTGGTTTATTGGAGAGAAGAATCTCATGGACTTTCCTGCTGGGGCTGGTTTTGAACCACAATCCTCAGATCTCAGCATCCTGAGTAGCTAGGATTACAGACATGAGCCATGGGTGCCTGGCATTAGAAATGTGTTTTATTTACTTAAGCAAATGATGCATTTTATCAGAAAGATTAAAAACCACTTTTTTCCCCACAGAAAAATATCACGTTAAATCAATGCGATAGGATGAACCAGTTATAATCACACAAAATTTAGTTTCTCTTTGGTCCTTCAATTTATAACAATATTACAAAATAAAGAAAAATACAGGATCAACATTAAACTTAAAAGAGAGATAGCAGTTACTAACGGTCTATAAAACAGTACCCAGCCAAAAAAGAAAAATCAGTGCTAAGACTTAACTAGAGGAACACTGGGAGTTCTTATATGTGAGTTACTGGAAAGTACCTTAAAGCTTATTACCAAATATTGCATCAAGCAGACAAACTAGATCTTTAAAAGAGAGGAATGCAGAGTAACAACTGGAAAACAAATGTATATTGATGAAGAACAAATGGACTTTCTACTTTAATGACACAAGGTGATGGAGTTCTAATCATCTGTGTGGCCCAACAAGGGCAATTTTAAGACACAAATGGAGTTAATGCTGGGACAAACCTCAAGCACAGCAGATCCAATAGCGCAGGCCATGGGATTCCCTCCAAAGGTGTTGAAGTGAAGCAGTCGTTTAGCCAAAGATTTGGCAATCTCTAGGAGAGGGAAATAAAGGTGAAGGGAATGACAAATTCCTACCATCATTATGTGGACATAGCATCATATCGAATTCATTCTTTATTCATCTAGTAGTGGATGCTATGAAATCGTGTCGCATCAAAAATTTGTATGTTGAAGTCTTAACCTGTAATGTGACTATATTTTGGACTTGAACTCTGGGCCTGGGTGGTGTCCCTCAGCTCTTCAGCTCAAGGCTAGCGTTCTACCACTTGAGCCACAGCACCACTTGCGGCCTTTTCTGTTTATGTGGTGCTGAGGAATCGAACCCAGGGCCTCATGCATGCAAGGCAAGCACTCTACCATGGAGCCACCTTCCCAGCCTGAGGTAATTAATTTTAAATGAGTCTTGAGGGTAGGATCCTAGTCCAGTAAGGTTGGTGTCATACTAAGGAGAGATAGCAGCGTTCCTTTGTCTCTCTTCCTTCTGTGCACATTGGAAGGCCATGTGATCTTATAATGAGAAGGTAGCAAGCCAAGAAGAGAGGCCCCACCAGACATCAGCACTGTGGGACCTTGCTGTTCACCTTGTGGCCTTCTAATCTGTGAGAACAGGAATGTCTGCTGTTTAAGTCATTCACTCTGGTATCTTGTTTTCCCAGCCTGATCTAATACAGTGGGTAAGGAAAACAATATCTTAATTACCCAATGGGAAGTTTGGTAACAAAATCATTGTGTTGTAAAAATTGGAAAGTACCTTAAAGCTTATGATATAGGACTTTGTATAGAATTTTTGATGCAATACATCTCTTTGTTTCTAAAGGCCACTTGTGACTCAGAAGGAAATGTCAGGAAAATAATGCCACATGAGGATATAGAAATATAATTCTGGATTGGAGTTAGTTATATGTAGTACCTTGTACTTCTCTTTTCCCAATCATATCTTTATAACTTTATTAATTCAATAAATATGTAGATGTCATAAGGCACTTAATTATTTAGTGGCTTATAAATATGATAGCTATTAATAAGAAATATAAATACAAGAGTTTAAAGATTTATTAATTCAATAAATATGTAGATGTCATAAGGCACTTAATTATTTAGTGGCTTATAAATATGATAGCTATTAATAAGAAATATAAATACAAGAGTTTAAAGATTTTCAGTAGTTAGTGGTTCACAGAAAAAAAGCACCCTGAAAGCCTTCCACTAAAACGGGAAGTAAAATTCTGCTGTGTTTGCTTTCCCTAGAGTGTTGTGGACAAGTTTTCCTTGTTCTTGGCTGTCTGGTGAAATGTCCCCAGAGAAATCTGTGCTTCTGGCCCTGTTGTCTATGGCTTATTGCCATGGGGAGACAAAAGCAACCATGGAAAAGTCTCTTTGAAGAATATGACTTTGGGAAGTTTGGGGGTTTTAGTTTGATTTTATAGCACGTTTTCCTCTCCCTTGCTTGTGTGTTACACTGTGTTTAATTGAGGAGATGAGAGAATTCATCTTTCCTACAGCCAGAGGAGAAAGAGCTGGGCTGCCCTTCCTCCCTTCTCCCTACAGCAACAGGCAGTTTCTGGTTTGCATTTGCTTGGGCTCGCATCACATCTCTTCTGACTCACACAGGGTCCAGCCCAGGCGCTTCCTACCAACGCCTGTGCAGAAGCAAGCACAAGCAGATGCAGCCCCCAGGTCCTACCTGGAGTAGTCACCACCGCCGCCATGGGAAAGCCGTTCCCAATCCCTTTAGCCATGGTGACAATGTCCGGCAGCACGCCATGGCTTTGGAAACCCCAGAAGTGAGATCCTAACCTTCCAAATCCTGTCTGCACCTGACGGAAGCAGAGCCGACGTGTTCAAATAAATAATGGATCATGGTCAAGACTTTTTGATTTTTACCCTCCCTTCTTCCCTTTCTCTTTTCTCCCTCCCTCCCTTCCTCCCTTCCATGCACTAAGTTGAGTAGAATGGTATTCCATGCTTCCATGGTAGGTTTTATAGAACTGGGTACGTAGCTGGACAGATTGAGGACACCCCAGGACGTGGAGCAGCTGGATCTGTTACCCGGGGGGAGGGCACTCACTGGATGAGCGCTCTCTGCTTAAAAGCAGTCAACATCAACTTCACTTAGCTAATCATTAGGCTTGTCCTTCTCAAGATTGCACTGCAGGAAAGCATCTCCAAGTGCATTCTTGAAAATCATGAAATCACATCTCTCAGAAAATTCTGCATTTCAGAGTATCTTTGAATTCTGTCTACCTGCCTTTTAATTTGACAGTGGTAGTTTCTATGTGCCCATCCCAAGGTCAAAGTTTGTCTTCTTCCCCAGTAGAATGAATTTCAAAATGATTCAGACCTGGCTCGGTTTATTAACAGGTTGGGAAGGAAAAGATGGGTGTGGCGGGAGGAGGTTGGTCAAAGCCTTATGCCCTACCCCGGAAGCACAAGTGCATCGGGGTATAACAGAGAATTGCCTACACATACAGTGCCAATGATTGTGATATTTCTGGGGAAGGGGAAGCCCAACATCAGCTGGAGGGAATTTTTAGTTGAGGAAAATTGTTCAGGCAAAGATGATAACATTGAACCCAGCAAGACAGATCCTTGGGGGGTTTCACCACTTAATAGTATGGATCACAATGGATCCTACCAGTTGAGTCAGAAGGACTTTTAAGTGGCCCCAGGGACCAGCCACTATTTTCAGCAGACCAAGGGTGCTTTCCATGGTGTACTCAAACAGCACAATTATAGGTAAGCAGATCCCTTTTAACCACATGGGTTAGAGCTCCCACGGCCCAAGAGAGCTTTTCTTCCAAGTAGTTCCCTTGGGCTACTGTGTGCTTATTGCAGCAGCTCTGCCTCAAGTCTGCTATCATAGGAACGATTCCTGAACATAGCACTTTTCTAATTTAGAAGCTAGCATATTATTTATTTATACAAAAACAATCAGTTCCAGGCAAGTTTGGTCCAAAAGGGTAGATGCTACCAGATTGCTTAACATAGTTTTGGCAAAACCTAAGGTGAACATTTAGATATGAAATTAAATTTTCTATATGATTAGTCAGCATTCGCAAAACATCCATCAAAAAGATAATAATCATCATAAGAAGTACATTGAGCAACAGCAGTGGCATCATCTATGCCTGGCCCAATTCACTGAGAGCCATCAGTTCAGATGTTTCCATTTATATTGTTCTGACTGGCTAATCTTTTCCTTAGTTTAAGGCCACACACTTATGCCCTTGCTACTTTCTGCCCTTGCTACTTTCAAAGAGATTTCCTTCTGTGTCTGATATGTGCCCCCAACTCTAAATTGTCCCCCTTACATTTGATACTCACTTCATCTGCAACACACACACCTCCCTTCTCTCTCACCAGCTCAAAGGCGTCCTTTAGAAAGCCCTTTGGGTACTGGATGACACCATTCACCCCCTGCAAAAGACCAAAACCAGAAGTACTGTAGCATCAACACAAGCCATTTCACAGCATTTCAAAAATGAGGACACATCATTATTGTCATCACCAGGGAGTAATTCTGGCCATCTTCTAAACAGCCTGAAGAGCTGCTTCAGCCATACATGAAGAGAAGGGCTGTTATTCTCATGCTATGCCTTCTGGAAAAAGAATTCCATATTTGTTCTTTTTGTTGTTGTCGGTGGTGGTGGTGAGGCTTGAACTCTGGGCCTGGGAGCTGTTCTTCAACTCTTCAGCTCAAGGCTGGCACTCTACCACTTGAGCCACAACACCACTTCCAGCTTTTTCTGCTTATGTGGTGCTGAGGAATCAAACCCAGGGCCTCATGCATGCAAGCAAGCACTCTACCACGGAGCCATCTTCCCAGCCCCTATTTGTTCTTTTTTTGAAATTAAAAAAATGTAGGATTTAGAAAAAGGGATCTTGAGATGAAAGAAAGGCTTCCCTTGAAATTGCACATGTTCTCGTGAAAATGGCAATACTTCCCAAGGCTATCTACAAATTCAATGTGATACCTATCAAAATTCCAACCTCATTCCTCAAGGAAATAGAAGAGGCAATCCAAAAATTCATATGGAACAATAAAAGACCC